TGTTAAATCATGTCAAATATAAAATTGAGTATTAAGTTGCTAAAAAATCTAGGAACCAAATGCAAGTGTGAGCTGTCCTGCGTCCAGTAGCTTGTAGCGTACCTGTAGGTAGTAGTGCTTTAAAACAAAAAGCCAATGATAAACTTAGATGAAGCATGATGAAGCCTTGTGCGAATCGCTGGAGCTGCGGGCCCAGAACTGTTAACTTATGCAACCTTATCTGCGAGCTCCAGGCTGGGTTCTGCTGTTGATGTCGTTGCGCCTTATGTTTTGGAGCGGGGAGGAACGGAGTCCGGAGGTGGAGCTCGGTGGAGAAGGCGTTGGTGTGGCTCTCACTGTTGGGGAAGTGGAAACATGCAACTCAGCCCACATTGGACAACTCAAGTCACGCAACTCAGCTTAATTCGGGGAAGGCGAGGCGATGGTGCTTTCTGACCTGCGAAGTGGGGACGTCTTGTTGTGGACACGATCGGTACTCGTCTATCTCCATAGCTACTCTTTGCTCTCTTTTGCACACTTGCTTGTGCTCCTGGGCCACACATCGTATTGTTCAGGCCATATCTGGCAAAATTACTTCGCCACCGTCACCGAACCCCCAAATTACATAACCCTTGTGCATCCACAACGCGATGTCATGAAGAAGCTCTCGCGAATGTGTCGCACAAAACGCATCAACAGTTTCCTACTTTTGACAAAGCCGCTGACGTTACACCCGGTCCAAACCGCCCAGTAAAAGTCGGTAAAGGAAAATCTCACAAGCTTGCACGACGAAACAAGGCATGGACGGTGCATGGGCGCCCTTTAGGCAACCACACGAACAAGAAACGTGTGAACATGCCGGCCAACAGCCAACAAGGAAGGGAACGAACACACTTGCTGGCCTCCACACCTGGGCAACATGAGGCAGACCTAGGACTTGTTGATACTTGTTGCACCACTTTGACTTCCGTTTGGATGAAAAGTATCTGCACCTGAAATCCACAGGGGCCTTTTCGACCATTTCTTGAAAGCGTGCAAAGCTTGCCTTTGGCTTTGCAAAGAAGTGGAGCTGTGCACACGACAGCTAGATCATTCTCAAGTCAAATTCAGCAAGAGCAAAGGCATTTTCGCCCATGCGATCAAATGCAGCCACAGCTTGACTGCGGCTCCGAAGTGAAGCTGACCAAATTCAGAGAATAGAGCACAGCTTGCCTTGGCACGTCCGTCGTTCATGCTCCACCCAGTCTTCCAAGCAAAACCCAGGCGCCAAACCAGCGCTCTTCGACTCTGGGTCGACATAGCTGTAGAGCCAGGCCTTGACCGCCTGTGCGAGCCGAAATGACAAACATTCGAAAAGGCATTCCCCTGTCGGCCTGGTAACCTTGCTTCACGCCTGGCCTTAACAAAGCAAGCACAAACTTGCTTCATCTAGCTTCTAGACAGGAGGGCACAAAAGCTGCCTATTCTGTTCTTGCATGCCATGTTTAGCAAACAGCCCTGTCCTCACTTTGACAAAGGCTTGCGGACACAAGCCAAAACTTTTGGAGTCAATGCAAGAGTTGCAAAGGTATTTCGTTGAGACGCGTGCAGCTACTTGCTACAAGTTGCTTGCCCTTACCCGGCCTATCTACTCCAATGTGGCACCCGTGGCCCTGCTTGTGAAGTGTTTGAAAGAAAAGAAAGGATGTCCCGAGTTTCAATTGTTTTTGCATTCTTGGCGGAGGTGTGCAAACGGTTCACAGAACTTGGCTTCGCTGGACAGGCCGAGGATGTAGGTCTTCGCATGGCTCTATGCGATCAGTGCACCACCAGTGGCTTTTCTTTTAAAGGCACCAACAATTGAAAGCAAATATCGCTGCTACGAGGAAACTGTTGCCTTTGACGTGCAAGTGTTTATATGCTTGTCGCTTGTAAGAGCCGCTACCTTTCAACGGTGGTGTGCTTATAAGTATATATAGTATGCAAACATAAAGGTCGGCAGGATGAATGTGACAGCTTTGGAGGCATATTGTTTATGAGTACTTTCGGCAAACTCCTTCTTGTAGCTGGGAAACAGGTTGTCAATGTTTAGGAGAGTTGCGCTCATGAAACCCAACTGTTGCTGTCATTTTCAGGGATGTACTCTGCCTTCTAGGGGTGACGGTCGGAGCGGGAACTGCTAACATTGCGATAATTCATCCTGGAGGCCAGATCTACACGATGGGCTAAATGGCCGTCAGGAGCTACAGACTTATCAGCTATGGCAATTCACCATGCATTGTCAGCGAAAAGCCTTTTGCCCACATGGTTACCACTGGCAGCTAGACTGAGAAGACCTGTCTGTCACGAAGCCCGTAGTTTTGTCGAAGTCCAAGCATTGCGCTCCGAGTGGTCAACTCATCTCTTTTCCAAAAACCGCAGAGGTGGGAAATGGCTACGGCGTGTTGGAGAATTCAGGAGTGCAGTGCTCTTTTTGGACATGGAGCTTTACCAGCCGGACCGGATGACATGAAGCCTGCCCTTTCAATCCTTACAGAAGGTAGTTCTACTTTTTCCCCACGCAGTTTACTGTTACGGGCTCTCAACTCTTTCTTAAGGTGTGTCCGCCCTTTTCGTCGCTGCTGGTGTCCGCCCTTTTCCGCTGGCCATGTAGCACTTCTACTCATTTGTCTCCCAGGTTTGTCGCTGCTGGTGTCCGCCATGGTCCGTTGGCCATGTAGCATTTCTATTCATTTGTCTCCCAGGTCTGTCACGGGTGGTGTCCGCCCTTTTCCGTTGGCCATGTAGCACTTCTATTCATTTGTCTCCCAGGTCTGTCACGGGTGGTGTCCGCCCTTTTCCGCTGGCGATGCAGCATTTCTGTTCATTTGTCTCCCAGGTCTGTCACTGGTGGTGTCCGTCCTTTTCCGTTGATGGTTGTTGCGTCCTTCTTGTTGACGTCTCAAAAAGTAGACTTGGGAATGCTTCGTTGCTGTCCCACCTATTGGGGGTCTACGGCGGTGTAATTTTGCGCCGGTAGGTGGAGTCGTTGCGGTAAAGGGTGGGCTTCTCCCACAACTACCGACAAGAGCAGCTGAAGCCAAAGGTGGCGAAGATCTACTGAGCCAAAAGATTTCGATTGCCGTACGCCTGCCTGCAGCTCTTCCAAGCAACTGTCATGTCTATCTGGCACGTGGCAGCACGGCCATGGCTTACACAGGAAGGAATTGCAGTTCTTGAGCATGCCACATGGTCCTCATACTCTTCAATTGCCTAGACTCAAGGCTGACTATTCGTGGCATGAAATTCCAGTTACGCTGTGGGGTCAGACGCCAGGGACGGTCCTCCGAGCCGGACGAGATGCATTGCAGCCATATACAGCACGTCAATGCGCCAAACACCCGAACGGGCCAAAGAACACCCCACAGACCCCTCTACGACACCATCTGCGATGCGGAAAGTTGCTGCATTTAGTATGCACGGTAAATGTCCAACGGAGAGGTAAGAGTGGAGCTTGATTCGGTTCATCCCCTTTCTCCCTGGGCGTGTGTACCGATGAGGAACCTCAAGAACAGCCTGAAGATTGTGATCACATTCTCCAGGCCTTCAAGGAGAAAGTAGATAGCCCAGTCTTCTTTGAGAACCTTTAATCTAGACTATGGGACATTCTTACAACGCCCCGGCCATATCCCAAGCTTTGCGCTTGCATTCACAGCTGGGCTGAGAAGTTGCTTGATTGATCTTGATTGCATTCAGCCGCAACATGGCAACCAAATTATAGGACCGGATGACCCCACATGTTAACAACTTCACCAAACACAGGAGGGGACAATTGGTGGTTGGTGGTTGGTTGGTGTTGGTGGTTGGTGGTTGGTGTTGGTGGTGGTTGGTTGGTGTTGTTGGTGGTTGTTGTTGGTGGAGGTTGTTGGTCGTTGTTGTTTGGTGGATGTTGGGCGGGGGAGGGCGGGAGGAAGGAAGGAAAGAGGAGCGGATACACGTCAATGTGGGGAAAAAAGTGTCATTGGCGTGAAGCAATGGGACGACTTTGCCCACGACAATCCCTACGGACGCCCGTCCAGCTTTGCAGGCGCCACAAGTCAAAGGGCGATACCCTCCGCAACTGCCGATCTTACGAAGGATCCCACCTTGCCATATCCATTGGCAAGGAACGCTACTAGGGGCTCCTGGCCTTACTACTAGGAGCAAGAACGCTAGTAGGGGCTTCTGGCCTTACTGCTAGGAGCAAGAACGCTACTAGGGGCTCCTGGCCTTACTACTAGGAGCAAGAACGCTACTAGGGGCTCCTGGCCTTACTGCCAGGAGCAAGAACACTAGTAGGGGCTTCTGGCCTTACTACTAGGAGCAAGAACGCTACTAGGGGCTCCTGGCCTTGCTACTAGGAGCAAGAACGCTACTAGGGGCTCCTGGCCTTACTGCTAGGAGCAAGAACACTAGTAGGGGCTTCTGGCCTTACTACTAGGAGCAAGAACGCTACTACTAGGAGCAAGAACGCTACTAGGGGCTCCTGGCCTTACTGCTAGGAGCAAGAACACTAGTAGGGGCTCCTGGCCTTACTACTAGGAGCAAGAACGCTACTAGGACCTCCTGGCCTTACTACTAGGAGCAAGAACGCTAGTAGGGGCTTCTGGCCTTACTACTAGGAGCAAGAACGCTACTAGGGGCTCCTGGCCTTACTGCTAGGAGCAAGAACACTAGTAGGGGCTCCTGGCCTTACTACTAGGAGCAAGAACGGTACTAGGGGCTTTTGGCCTTACTACTAGGAGCAAGAACGCTACTAGTGGATCGCAAGAAAGATGGGGCGCTCGGCCACGTGAGACACCAGACATGCTGTGTGGAAAGGGCATGCAGCCATGGAGGTTTCATGATCCTTTTCGAGAATCACACGATCCTATTCCTTACGGAGCTCGTGGAATGGGCTCTTTTTATATCACAGCGGGTTCGCATGTTTGGAGCACGTGTGAACAGGGCTTTAAATTCACATCAATCCTGTCTGGACATGTCTGGACCAAAGAGCCTGAAGCCAACACGAGAGGAAGTGGCCCATATGTCCTTGAGCTGAATAGTAAGACAGGCTCCATGCCCAAAGCAGCTAGCATCCACGGTGATAGCGCCGAATGGAAGACGTCTCCACTCAAGCAAGGCAATATCCTTCAAACTTGCGAGCCTTTTCTGCAGATGGAGCAGCTTGTCTTGAAGGACTCGGGCGCGTTGATATCAGTTCGGAGGTTGAGTGAGTACGTGACCCTGAGATTGCTCTGGGAACAAGACGTGGGGTGCCGAATCTGGCTCACGCTCGATACAATTAAGCGGATTATGCATGGATGCCAGAACTCAAGCTAGGTACCGATCCAACCTAGGGCAACGAGCGGTTCGTTCTCGATGACCACAGCGCACCAGGTTGGTGAACCTTGAAATTGAAGGCCTTGAAGTTGGTCCAAATTGAAGGTTCTGTTGGATTTAGAGGATGATTGGAGAAAGGCAGAAATTGGTTTTGGGAATTGAGGGGAACCAAAGGCTGAATCATGGATCCAGCCTGGCATGTAATCATCATCCTCATCCTCCTCCGCATCCTAACTCATGCATCTGGGTCAAAAATCGGATTACGGAAAGGATCTTCTGCATCTAATCCACAAAGCGCCATTCTGTAAAGGAGACAGTTTAGGAAAACAAGACAAGATATATATATATATATATTTTGCATTTACCACCTAACACGAGCCCCACCGGAGACAAACACACATTCGGTTTCTTGCAGCTCACATGCTGTAGGTCTGTTAGGTAGCGTGATGTGTCTGGATTCAAGCCCGATTGTTTCAGGTTCAGCCTGGAAAGCATCTCCACAAGTTCATCGCAGGCAAATCTACTCTACCAGATCTACAACATCGGATTCGCGTGCGCTCACAACTTTGCAAAGCCCACGCTACAGGAATTCATAAACCAGCACTGCTCCGGTTCAACAAAGTCAGGAATGCGCGTCTAGACAAGGTGACTGAGTGGTATAAAGGAACACCTCCTTCAAATTGGAGGACATGCAGAACGAAAGCGGATGGTTGGTTTGCACCATATCGTCCTCTTTGTAAAGGTTCAATCATCCAGTCGGTCAGTCGTAGCTGCAAGAAGTCAATTCAGAATATGGAAGAGAAGTAAGAATCACCGGCCACGCTCTCAGCCCAACACACTCTCATCAGCACCGGGCTCAAGCAGTGGTCGATCCTCTGAAAAGAGTCCTCCCAAATTGGAGACTAGGTGGCCAGGTGCTTAGGCGTGCATGTCTCCAATTTCCTGCGTCCATGAGCTCATCATATACCTGGCAAAACAAGCTTGAGCCCGAGATCAAACCCATTCCGTACCTTCCAGCATCTCTGGCCTCATCATCATAAAATTCCAAAATAGAATTACAGTGATGGGCGCGCACAGCATAAACAAAGCCTTGGATGCAGGATTGAAGAACTTGGAGGCAAGCGTCAAAAACTACACAAGTTGTTTGTCTGATTCTGAGCCGCTCCCACCACCATTATGAGGCCCAACGCAACCTCTACATCGGCTCGCGCTCGCATCACCTTGCTCACAAAATGTGAGCGTTGCAATTTGAAAACATAGCTGTGGACACTTTGGCTACCTCGGGCCTGCTTGCGCGCTTTGGCCGTCGCCAGCGGGGACCAAAAATCTCTGACCTCAACAACCAGCATTGGAAACCAACGCAAAATGGTTTCAGCAAAACGGGAGCTGCAAGGAAGAAGGAAGAAGGAAGCAGGAACTGTGCAAAAACAGCGCTGTGCCGATAGCTGAACGAGCCATATTAAGCGCCTTCCCCATGGCTGCGGGAAGCGCCAAGCGGACCAAAACGGCTGTAGCTGTGGCACTGTGGCCTTGTGGCCCTGTGGCCCCGCGGCGCACGAGAGAGGGCACTGAGCTGCCCAAGCTTTGGTGCTACGGCGAGAAAGAATCGAACGCCTTAGCTACTTAGGTCGCTACTAGCGTCGTAGTGATGCCCTTTGTTAGTAGCTCTTCAAGCCTTAGGCGAACACAATCCCTTCAAACGAACTACGACGGCTACGAGCTCGGAGCTCCACTGCGAGGCTCGGCGAGTGATCGATTTGGTGGCGTGACTCTGCGGTTGCGGCGGTTGCGATGCGCTCTGTTCCCTCGGCAAGCTTATCTGGGCGCACAAAAGCCGGATGAACAAAGGGAACCATGTCGAACCCTGGTCAAAGAACCAAGGTGCTCTGAAGGAGAGAAAACACGTTCAAAAGTGGGGACATCGCACTCTGCATGGATGCAAAACAACCAAACATTTTGGGATACCATCTGCATCTGGGGATCGGACAAAATCAGGCAACCTCACACTGTCAAGTCAAGACTGCCTAGCAGAGTTTTCACCATGTGACCATTGTTTGCAAGCCAAGGCACTGCTTGTGGAACTTGCAAATTTGCCCGAAACTAAGGAGAGCCTTGGCTGCCGTTTCGCGTCCTGTCTTCACAACAAATGGAAAACAATACGCCCAGCCACAGTGAGAAACATCGGCAATACAGCCAACAGCCGCACCTGCAGAGGCCGCAGGTGGAGGTGTGGCATGGGAAGACCGACAGCAGTAACAGTGGAGCGTCCTTTGTATGGAGCCCCGGCATCATCAACGTGGCCGCCATGATTGGCATCGTTCCTGTGATTCATGCACCTCTTTGGCAGTCTCATTCAAATCTTCTGGGTTCTCATAAGGTAGCTTCCGACATCATCCACCAGCACGTTGTGCATATACTTTTTTGAAAATTTCACGCCAAACCTGAGCACGCAAAAACCGACTCCAACCTGAACAAAACATCAGCAGTGCACACACTTGTCACTGTCAAAAATGCAATCAAAACACTTCGCAACTATTTCGAGGATGAACGCAACCACCTGAAACAATGCGTTTTGAGCAATCCGCGACAAACAAATCATGACTTGAACTGCGCTCTTCTCTATCCCAGGAAAAAGGAAAGAACCTGCTTAGCACATCAACAAACGCCAAGGTGCCATAATGACAGTGACCTGGTATGGCGGAAATACGCCTGCAAGTTGCTTTCCGATGTCACCAGCTATTCGTCGCCGGTATTTCTATTGGTGTTTTTGATGTCGTTGTTTGTTTTGTATTGTGTCATTCACCAAACAGTTTACTGCTAGGGGCTCTCAATTCTTTCTCGATGTGTCCGCCCTTTGTGTGAGTGCTGGTGTCTGCCCTTTTCCGCTGGCCATGCAGCATTTCTATTCATTTGTCTCCCAGGCTTGTCGCTGCTGGTGTCCGCCATGGTCCGTTGGCCGCATTTCTATCCATTTGTCTCCCAGGTCTGTCGCTGCTGGTGTCCGCCCTTTTCCATTGGCCACGTAGCACTTCTAGTCATTTGTCTCCCAGGTCTGTCACTGGCACTGTCCGCCCTTTTCCGCTGGCCATGCAGCATTTCTATTCATTTGTCTCCCAGGCTTGTCGCTGCTGGTGTCCGCCATGGTCCGTTGGCCATGTAGCATTTCTATTCATTTGTCTCCCAGGTCTGTCGCTGCTGGTGTCCGCCCTTTTCCCCTGGCCATGTTCCGCTGGCCGACAGACCGGGAATGAATAGAAATGTTGCATCGCCAGCGGAAAAGGGCGGACACCAGCAGTGACACACCTGGGAGACACATGAACAGAAATGCTTCATGGTCAGGGAAAGGGGCGGGCACCAGCAGCGACAGACCTGGGAGACAAATGAATAGAATGCTGCAGTGGCAGACCTGGGAAACAAATGAATAGAAGTGCTACATGGCCAGCGGACACCAGCCGTCCATGGCCACTGGTGGTCTCCGCCCTTTTCCACTGGCCATGTAGTCCCTGCTGGTGTCCGCCCTTTTCCGTTGGCCATCTAGCATTTCCATTCATTTGTCCCCCAGGTCTGTCACTGCTCATTTCTGCGCATTTCCACTGGCCATGTAGCATTTCTGTTCATGTGTTTCCCAAATTTGTAAGTCATGTGTCTCCCAGATCTGTCACTGCTCTCGTTGACTATGCAGCATTTCGACTAATTTCTCTCCCAGGTCTGTCCATGAAGAGTTTCTAGTCATTTGTTGGGCAACAGCTGCGGTCGCGCCTCTTTTACTTGAGCCAAATGAGCAGTAAAGCGTCAAGCATGTACACATATGAGGAGGGTTGCTATACATGGCAAAACTCAAGTTTGAGTTTGATGTTTACTCAGTGTTCTCTACAACCAACACGCCAGGACGGCAACTGTGAACACTTTAGGACATGCCCTGGAAGACAGTTTTGGAGGCTTTGGAGCAACAGTAGGCACTCCAAAAACACATGCCCAGAAAGCAGCTAAAAACACCAAGATGCAACAAGACCGGGGAGGTTGATATGCATATACATTAAGTTTAGTGCAAATGGGTTGGGCTTATGTTGCCAAATTCGCAGCTTCACGCAAAAGGTTGGTGTGAACGACACCACCGCCACCACCACCATCAACAACAACAACAACCACAACCACAACCACAACGACAACAACAACAACACCAGCAACAACAACAACAACAACAACAAGGTACAAACAAAAACTGCAACCCCGTTACAACATATCTTCTTCCTTTGTCTCTACAATGGGGTTGAGCCATCGGTTGATGACGTGGTGAAAAGTGTTTTACAAGCAAACACCTCAGTCACTTCACTACCTGACTACCTGTATTTGGTGAACTTGAGATGCCATTTCAAGGTTGGTGTCTGGGCTGTTAGGCCAGGTTGGTGGAGCTACAAATGTGAATCCCACGCTTGCCTGCCCAGCTGCCCACAGCCATCACCAAAGCTACGCAATAAGCAGCAAAGCAAATGGTAGCCTTCTGGCCTGGCGCTCCCAAATGTGCACAACACAAAACGCCGCATTCTAGTTAAAGTATCACGAGCCTATAGCGCTCCACCTGGAGCCATCATGGTAGATACCCTTTGGTAAGGGTCCATATTCCTGCAACGCAAAGATACGCTACCACCGGCATTCCGGTCGACCCAAATCAGTGTCAAACACCAAACAGGTCAAGTGTCATTCATCCGGTCAAGTCACTTGGGGCGGCTGGGCTGTACACGACTCCCAAGATTGAGCAGGCTCGTAGCTTTCATCAAAACTCACGTCGATGTTCCTCAGGAGGAACAAAATTTCCACGGTGGTAAGTCCAAATCTGAAACAAAGTTGACAAACCAGTCACTGATAAAACTTGTCTGTGCCAAGCCACTTCTTGTACCACTTCTTTTTGAACTTTGCAATTTGTTCCTCAAGACTGAATTGCGCCCAGGGCCCCCCAAAACACATGGACACGGTTCTTGTATCCATATGTTTTTGAGAACTCTTTGCCGTGGGATTTGAACCTGTCCTGATTGGGCGGTGGATAAAGACCATTCAAATATGCTCGCCAGCGCTCATCTCCCCAATCAAACGATAGAAACTCCGCGTAAGCCTCCGCCATTAGCTGTTCATGCACAAAGAATGGGAATCAGAGTCGCGGGAAAACGAATGCAGCTTCGCTGTAGGTTTGTTTTGCTTTGGCTTTTCACACCAACGCGTCGTCTTCATAATATGTTGTTTTCTCTCGGTTCTGCTGTTCAGGGGGTGCCGGAGTCACTTAGAAGCACTGCGCGCACTTCCTATGTTAGAATTGAGCACAAACTGCGGCTCAACTTGTGCCCCGGCGGTTCGATGAAACTATATAACTGGTTTTCTGCATCCAGAACAAAAGACACCTGTGAAAACTTCAGCTCAGGTGCCTCTCTCTTTCTACTTGAAACTCAATGACCAAACTGAATCAATTAAGGCAGTTCAAGATACGCTAGTGAGCACTTGCAACCTGTAACCGTTGACCGTTGCAAAGTATGTAAACCTTCTCCAGAAACTCCCGCCACCTCCCCTTGACTTCGTGGGCCACGTGAGAATTGGCACGACCGCCACATATACACAGTGTCTGATCATTGGAGGCTCGTTTGGACAATTGCAACCAAACAACCAAACGCTGGCCTCACAACCAATGACTTCCTGAACCTGCTTTTTTTTGGACAACCGCCCTTCTGGCACCGCATTTTCACTCTGCGAAAAACCGCTCGGCCTGTTCTTTACATGGATTTCGACATGTGAAACAAAGCAACAAGTCTGCGCTTGACGTCAGTGCTGCTTCAAATCTTCTGGATGTTCCGGTGAGCTTTTTCGCTCAAGTTCTAGTGCTGCATAAGTTCTCTGGGTTCACTTTGCGCCAAAGTTCGAACCAAATCCGCGCAATGCCTGGAGCAAAGCGCTCCAGCCAAGAGCGAAGAACTTTGCGGTAAATGGCAAAAGCAGCACACTTCGGCTGAAGCACTGCCAAGTGACCTTACTGCCGAGATTCAACTTCGGCTGAAGCACTTTGTTGGCCAATGGAGTCGCCTGGCGCTTGGCCAAGACCTCGGCAAGTGTCCTGAATTTGAGATGAGCCAAGCAGGTTAGGCCCAGGCAGCTGCTTGGTTTGATGTGGCTCCATACTATCAAAGAGCTTTCCTTCTTGTGGACCAACCAAGACATTACGGAAATTGGACAAGTGGCTCCAATTCGTGGAGGACCACCAACGTCACCATAGTACCTTGGAAGACACTGCAGCAAGCACCTCGTGTCTCACCTGATACCCCACACTACATTGCACCTGCTCGGCTCGAGAAAGCTTTAAAACGTATCAAACCCATAGTAGAAACAAGAAGCTACTAGAAACAAGTGCATCGCTTCTAGTAACAAGTGCCTTACTAGTAGTAACAAGAAGCTAGTAGAAACAATATATAGAATTTAATTAGAATGTATATAAATAAAACTACTAGCACGCCCAAGTCACGCAGGTTGTCTCTGACGAATAGATCGGTCGTGGGTCATCATGTGAAGGTCCTGACGCCCGTCGAAAAGGGTTCAACCCTCACACCTGAAACTTGCAGCTTTCTCTGCGTTGCTTTCTTGCCCATACATCCACGAGACCCGTTCCCTGCACTCTGTCCATCCAGGTGAGGTTCGGTAGCTGGTGCTGGCGAAAGTAGTCCTGTGCAAAGGTGCTACTGACGCTGCGCAGCTGCACAAGGGGCAAACAAGCAGGCTCCAAAAAGTCCAAAAGACATGCCCTTGTACAAACACACACACACACACTTATAGATATGCATACGGAACTGACAGCGGTGCCACACGCCGGCCTAGGGTGCCATTTCCTAAGAGTACAAGTACAAGTAAGAACCACCGGATCCTGGAGGTCTTCAAGAGGAAGTGGGGCCAAACGCGCAAGTCGAGGTCGAGACAGCAGGGTGACGGCGGAACGTGCAAGTCTGCAGAATGTCAAGCTCAACTCAGCAAATGTAAAAATCAAACAGGTACGTCGGTGAGCGTCCCCACCGATATCAGTGTTCAATGGAAGCCTCTTCGTTGGGCTGGTACTTGCATGAACAACCAGCCCCCCTGCTCTAAAGAATCCTAGTGAGGACACTTCAGTTCACAATTCCAAAGAATCCCTGTGACTACAAGGGGCACACACACACACACACTAAAACTGTTTCGAAGAATACCACAACAAGTGACAAAAGACTGATCCACTTGCATTATGGTGCATATTTTGCTGCGGACGACTGGCAAGCAATGGGTTCGTCATCCATCCTGATGTGCAATCCGCAACGTTGCGACCTGTTCCCTCCGAATAGCAGGTGCGAATGCATCGCTGAGTGTTCGCACTAATTGCAGTTTGCTACTTCACACTTGACCTTGTGCTGCCTCTGCACAGATAAGGGCGTTGCTGAGATAAAGGTGGATCAGTTCTTGTTTCGGGCTGGGTCAGCTAGGGTTTGTCTCCTTTTCAAGCTGCCGCATTGTGTGGTGTTTGCCTGTGATGGACCCTGAGAGTGAAGTGGTGCTGACAGAATTGGAGATCTGAACTGCGATGCAGTCGGCTTGCACAAATATGTTCCAATTCACATCCACATGAATGCAAAAAGAACTCATTGAACAGCTCCGAGGCGGTCCAGCCTGCTTTTCGAAATGCGTCCGGTGGGCTTGCTCGACGCATTCGCCAACGTGCCGGTGCATATAGGTCAAAGATGTCACCATAAATCTGCAATCGAATGGACCAGGTCATGGCAGAAAGAAGAAGCACAACAAACAGCAAAGGGCAGCCAGCAAGCAAGAGCTTTACCAGCAACTCCGACAGACATGCGTTTTCAAGCATGTATTATATATACATATATAACCAAATTTCAAGCATCGCTCACTCAATACTCTTTTTGAGAAGCAGTCTCAGCACCTGTTGTCATAGGCTCGTTGCCAATCATTGAGGCTGTCTCTATCCTCAGCTGGGATGCTTAACCTCGATTTTTTAGACCTTTTAGTGCACTCACTAAAAGAAAATCACATATGGACTTTTTGTGCAGCACAATGACCTGAGGACGGACATGAGGAGTAACAGCGCGGTACCACTTGTGAGCAGTGCGGCCTGCAATACTCAGACTTTCACTCGTGGAAGACAAGGGATTCTTATTGCTTTTATATTTCTTGTGTTCTGACTTTGTCTTTTCTTTATTTAGACCTTTCTGCCTTTGTAGGCCTTTCTTGTTGCTCACCCTTTGGTCAGCCTTCACTAGCCGACCTTCGATGAGAATCCATGATGCCTCTCCAGGTGTTCACTTTGCAATGCACTCAACAACCCCAACAAAGGACTCGCGTTCTAATGGAGTCTATCCTTTAAAAGTTTGATTGGATTATGTTGACAGAACAGCTTGGAAACAACATAGACTGTGAGTAACGAAGCAACTGAAGCTAAGATCAAATAAGCATGTCCACCTTTGATTCGACGGCTTTACAAAGTCTGCACAGCACCACGAAGGTCACCACGCTCACTGATTCCAGCCTATCCCACAGCAGTCCCATCTCTGGCTGAGCCCAATCGAATCACGCATCCACACATTTGTCAAGCTTGGTCCATACGTTTGCAACAAGCCCGTCAAGCTTCCAAAGCAGAACATGTCTCAAAGAACTGGAGCCTTTTTGGAGAGCACTTTCTTGCAAAGGAGGAAAGTATTAGCATGCGGCATTGTGCACCGCCACAGGGAAGGCTTGGAAATGCTTTGCATTTTTCCCAGTCAAGAGAGGTACCTTTGACCTTTCGTCCCACTCTTTGCCGCACAGGTGCCCTTCATTGCCCTTCCTCCACAACGATTTCCATTTGTTGCCGCAGCCAGTGCAAGACCTGACAAATGAGAGACTGACCTGACCAACGAGGACCAGAATAAGATATTCATTCGCAAAGCCTCATTCATAAGATGCTCTCGAAAGACCACGGTGTGGGCATCCTGCAGTGGCTAGCACAGGGATGGACAAATCAAATAACTACATGTTTCTTCTTCAAGTTCCTGATACTCTCGTGCTGGATCTTTGCCAACTTGCTTTAAACTTTCGCCATCATCTGGCTCCCCCAGCCTCAGCAGCTTCAAAAGGTTCAATAGAAAAAAAACTGAAGCTACTACAAACTCAGCCACCTGCTTGTCCCAGGCTTGTCGATCCACTGCGTCCATGTCAATGTAAGACATGAGACCCTGGGTTCGAAAACCGTGAAGAGCTGAAAAGCAAGTCTCACTGTGAAGCTTTACTCACGGCATCCAAAGTGGACCAGAAACTACATGTTGAGCCTTCGGGGTATGGATATGTTTTGGCTGGATGAGGAGCATGATAAACAAAGGAGCAGGGGCTTTGGATGCAGGCCGAGGGGAGATTAGTTATTGATGTTGAGGTGCGCTTGTGGGAGAATTGACCTACCAACTCACAAACTCACCACCACTTCACCACAAGTTGAAACTTACCATTTCCCACAGGTGAAAATGTCTACGTCAACTTTGGTTTGTGTTCTCCTCCTACAAATGCTTCTACCTCTGTTCTGAAGTAGTCCAAAGCTTGCTACATACAACACCAGAAGGGTAGATTTATGTCGCATGGTTAGCAAAATACAATCCTTCCTGCCTTTAAAAGAAAACTGAACGAAGCATACCTTGCCTAAAAACAATAAACATGTCCTTTAAACCTCTAACAAATGTTGGGCGTGCGACCCCCGAATAATTGTGAATGTCCACAAAAAGGCCATGGCGCAGCCATGGAGGCCAAACGTTGAAAAGTTACTTCGAGTGATCCCGACCCTCCCCAAGCTACGTAACTGCAAAGCAGTTGCACATAAATATTCACATCATAGTTTCTTGATTATTCACATCATAATTTCTTGATTAAACTGGCTTTGCTTGCTGCCTTCATAATGACACTTTATTGCCAGGCGTGCGTATTATGGAGTATCTTCCCTCCCACATCTTGGCTTTCGACGATCTTATGGGCCAATTCCTGCAAGTTATTCAGCTCGTGCGCCCTTCTCCAATCTCTTACTGCGCTTCAATGTCTTTTTATTTTGTTCCCTCATCTGTTTCAGCGAAAATTTTTTCTCACATTTCAACGTCTTGCCTCACAAGCAGCTGGACCAGGACCAATGGCCAGCTCAAACCCTTGCCTTACATATCGTTGTAAGAGACCCACTCCCACATGCGCGAGGCTTGGGACGATCCCTGTGTGGGGACTGAGATGCCTGATGAGTCTGATGAGGGACTTAATGAGAAGCCACAATA